AAGGTCAGGCCTCTGCTATATCATATCCTTTGGTGGGAGTGCCGATGAAGCAAGCGTATGTTTTGCTATAGCAATCGACAACGTTACTTATTTTTGTATTAGAGTAGAGTTTCTAGACCACAAGTAAATCAGTAATATGAGTAATATGGGAAAGCAAGGCTATAAGAAACTTCAGCTTAATTCATATCATTGTGGGAAAATTCTACTACCAGTCCTTCATCACCTTACACGAAATATGGTAAATACATCACATATTACTAATTTACTGATAGTTTAGAAACTCTACTTTAATATTAGAAACCTTACTCACATACACATTACGATTTATTTTAAACTCCCTTTTCCTTCGAAATTGAATGTCATGTCACAATAGGCTTTATTATTTTCTCCCCCGATATTCCATATTTATTCTATGTTGTGCATTTATAGATGGAATTGCGTTCTTGAGTTTTGCTGTGCATTTCTCTTTGTTACTATAGTACTGCTTTTTAACAATTTAAATAAGAATTGCATCTCACTCTACCATATAAGGAAATAATATTATTATGATTATTGACGAACTTGTGAATTTTCTAGGCAAGAGCTAAACATATTTTGTATATTAGGTGCTAATATTGGTTATTTTATGCAATAAATTATGTTCAGTAAGTTACTTTCTTAATATGCGGCAAAGATAAGGCATTAATCTTACTTCCACTTTTACTCCTATTGGTATTACCAACTTATATATTAGGAAAAAAATTCGACAACATTATTCTATTTTGATTTATCATTTAATAAGTCGATAAAGATATTATTCTAACAAAAATCCATGTTATTAATTGAAAAATATAAAGTCTAATATATTAAAAAGTCCACATTAAAGCAAGATATATTTTTGATACTTTGTGATTTTTACGATGAGTAAATGCAGTTATGGATAAGTAACCTACTCCCAAGAAAAACGTTCACAGAGTAATAAAGCATATGATTCATAGGCTAGTCATGGAGGAAGGCCATTCAGACTCGATTTTTACACGCATTCAGGATTATTGATAAAACTGAGCTTACTTTGTGTCTGTGTAGTGTTGATGAATATCAGGCTATCTCAAGCTCATTCATATATATCGTAATGAGTAGCAAATTATGAAACCTCTTTCTGGGTAAACGGTTTTTCGAAGGCACTATTTATATATTTTTTGTCGTATAACTGTTAGATTCTACTGTAACAACCCAATAATAAAAAAGAATGTATGAAAGTGATGATAAAACCCTATATACTTGCTTATATCTCCTCTGGAAATAGTTAATTAATGGTACTATCCCATATATTATGTCTCATCAACTGTATATGTTTAGAGAAATGTCCTGGAGCAGCAATGCTTATCTTGCAATGTTAAATATACCGAACGCAACATATATATGAAAATCCATAAGTACTATACAGTTAGCAAAGAAGTTTAAATAGCCATATCAAAAGTGGTGGTTTGCAAGCGCGGGAGAATTTCGAAATGTATACCAAAAGCAACTTAATGGTAATCATTGCTGAAATTATTCCATCACATAAGCGCTTCAATGGCTCTTAGATAACACCAATTATATAGCCATCTTTGCGGAGAATGAGATTTTCTTGTTAATTTTGGTGCTTTATTAACTCGAAACTTTCTGTCTAGCGTTATGCATATTAATAAAACTGTGAAATGTTTAAATTCAACTTGATCAGATTTGCAGGATTTTTAATGTTTATTGGGTCGAATTGCGTAAGCTATTTGATTCGCGTTTAACTCGAGAGACGGAAAAATCTTCTCGCAACTCAAGCTGCCTCAATTACATTTAAAACGAAAGTTCTTCCATTTATTTGGAATATTAATAAAAAAATGCGTTATGTAATTTTCGGGCCAAAGTAACGAAATCAAAGAAAGATAAGCAGAAATCTCTAAGCAAAAACTGTAATATAGACTAAATTACTTGAAAAACTTTTGAAATTTTTAACTTTGCTTTTTAAGCTAGGGGGACAAGTTGGGGAGGTACAAATTGATTTTGTTTAATAATACAGAACAAAATTAAAAATGCATTTTTAGTTTTCAAGTTATGTGGTTCCTTCTACAAGTTGTTTAAACCATATGAGTACTTATCAGTCATTTTCTCCTGTCTTTGCATTTAAACTCTTTGCAAGATGCATGAGTCATTGGCTTCCTTAGACATGCCTCATCCTTTGAGTCAAAGGTAGCCTTGTTAATTTTGAAAATGAATCAATCAAAATATATTGCAAAGACTATACAGAGCTTTGCGTGTTTGCAAGTTCGGCCGTATGTATTTATATTAATAGGCATTATCTGCGAAATTATATGTATTTTGTAAATGACGCATTTAAAATAGTTATTCAAAGCTAATGGAGACTAATTTCTAGGAACAGGTTTCAGATCTAAAATTGACTTACTTGAAGCTAGTAAGGGATAAAGGGGCAAGCTAATGCTTTTGACAAAATTACGAAAGCATATTAGTAGTGAAAAATTGTTTTTTTTAACCATGAAAGTGATTAACATATCTGTTCACACGTTAAGCAGTAAGAAAAGATTTTCTAATAGCAGATATACTAATAAATTCTCTATCATACTAAACCAATGGACAAGCTTCTTTATCTAATATTTATGGACTAAGCGTTCATATCTTTCGGTTAAGAAATAAAAGTTACTCATCTAGCAAAATTCCAATACTCATGAAGCAGGGATAAGTTTGCCTAAAGGTATACAAGAAAGACACCCACTATTAGGCAATGTCAAATATAATTAACAGAAAAAAAACACTTTATCCGCGCTTTTTCATTACCGCCTGTAGTCTTTCCTCATCTCTGAAGCCGGAATTATTTTTTTCATAATATCTGTAGTTGTTGTTTGAAACACCGTCAAATATTCCATTGTTGGCATCTTCATCCGAGGCTCCAGAGCTTTCTTCCCCTTCGTCATCACTTTCCCCGCCAAAGCCGCCAATTTCATGCTCCCACATATTTGAAGTCTCACCATGTGAAGTTTCACTACTAGCCCGACTGCTCCGTGTCATTCCGCTTGATTTCTGCGCCTGGTACTGCTTAATCATGTCAGTTATCTCTTCGAGGTCCTCCCTTAATTCAACCTGGATGACAAGATGATATATTCGGTCTTGCCTATTCACAACTAAAAGAACTACCGGCTTCTGTATATCATGAGTGAATTCAATGGCCCTAATTACGTTTGAATAATGCACTTTCGGGTAGGCTAGGTCTGGAGACTCATAGCCGAGTGGACGGATGATAAAGCGATTTGAATAGGACTTCAACTGATATTTGCAGCAAGACTTTTTGTATTGGCACTCTTTTATTAGTTCGTACTTTTCCTCGTAAGTAGTGTCTGACTTTGGACCCAGATTTATGTGTGATATTAAGCGGACTACATAACAAACAATCCAGTCGGTCGGGTCAAGCATGCGCTGATCTGATTTGAAATAAGCCAATTGATATGCCTCGCGATTAACAATGTAACTTTGGTCAAATAGACCTGTCGTGTCGTAAATGCTGCGCACATTCACCTGATGATCTACCCGTAAAGTATTATTAGCTGCCGGCGTCATTAATAAAGCGTCATCAGTGTATAGTCCTGTAGGAGAGGATCGCTTCTCATTTTGATCGGTGATGAGACCACTAGTGTTCATCTCTTTAGAAGCCAAGTTTGAGGATATTAGTAGCAAGCAGTTGACATATTTATCACGTTCTGTACGAGAACGGAAGTTCAGACCTTCGTATGCAAAAGTGTTTTGAGCGCGATGCACTACTGACATGACAAGTGCTCGAGGAGAGGCGGTAAAACGATAAACTTCAATTATGTCGACATAAGGCATTTTTAACCAAGGAATTGTTTGAACAGCTTCATTCGCAGACTTTTTGGTCTCCAGCAAGACACATGTCTCAGTACAAGTGACATTCATTTGCGCAATTAATGGTACTTTGGGGCTCTTTCGTAGGAATTCCAGAGCATCTTGGCTGCTAGGCTGATGATTTATTGCATGTAGCTCACGGTGAGTTAATGTGGCCACTGTTTTAAATTTTGTTATGGTTCGTTTGGTTGATCGCTTCAGCATTCTGTATGGGTAATAGATCAGAGGTCAAAAAGCTCTGAAATTTTAAACTAGCAATACATTAGGAAGTTAGCACAATTTTTTAATTTATTTGAATCATTTACTCGAAATTAATCATTAAATTTTAATTATAAATCTTCACCTACTTGACCCGTAGAAAATATATTTGGATAAAGCTAGTGCATAAACTCCTTGAAACGAAGTGAAAACCTTTCGAACATTAGTCATTTATAAGAAAGAACAATTGGGAAGCAAATAAGCATATATAAATAAATAACCATACTTATGCATAAAATATTCCAAAAATGCAATATCTTTGATACATTCAATTAATATAAATTTACATTTATTCTGGTTAAAACCTTCTTAATAGCATTTGGCAGAATTAATTCAAAATATACTCCATTTTTTGGGAAATTAGACAACATTCATTAATTAATTTTGCCGAATAATGAGTAAAGTTTACTTGGAGAATATTTGTCTATTTTCCCCTTAGCTGGAATAATTTACAATTTAATAATACAGTTATCCTCATAAACAATAGTCGAAGTTTAACTTAAGTCTCTTCTATTAAAATTATCAACAAGTTAGACTGGGCATGGTTTATTGACTTGAGAAATTAAAAGCCTTCACAATAATATAAGTCTAGGAGGATTCATTAAGCTTTAGTTCAGTCAACATCCTGTACGGATATTTTAAAGAAACTCGAATGAAACCACAAGCCTCGCATGTTTATTTATCTACCTGCCTGCACCTTCACAAGGAGTAGTGTAAGAAAATCTTTTTACTTTACAATTCAGAGGTACACGTAATATTTTAAATCAGTAATAAAGTGAGGTGAGTAAAAGAGATGCTGCTGTTTTCCCTATGTATGGATGCCCTTTGAGATAATAATTCAATGAAACCTGTTTAATCTTTTTCACTATCTAAGCATGGGCAGCTCAAATACCACAACATAGAAGGTCAACTAGGTTCGTTTGTCCAATGTGAGACTCTTACAAGAATGAAACCTAGCTCTGATGATGTCCATCATATGATGAACGAAAGCTCAGC